GGTTGCAGCAAAATAAATTGTTGTCATTGTTGTTTGGCAGGCTCAGGCTGGATTTGAACCTGCTAGCTCAGGTGTATGTGGCTGGCGCCTTAGCCGCTAGAGTCACAGGCACCGATCCGGCTCTGCTTCGCTATTTCTTAAAGGGGCCTCAACCCGACTTCAGGAAGGTCTTGTGTACAGTCGTCTTATGTTACAGGAGTCTTACTTATGGTTGACCTTGAATAATACGAGCGGGTTTTAATTTTTTAACTGCGTGTGTCCATTTGTGCACGATCGTGTCAGCCACTCCCCTCCCCGTCCACATCTTCTGCTTCTGACACCCCTGACACAGCAAGACCACCCCCCTCCTCTTCCTCAGCCCGCTCAATGTGAAGACAACTACCAGGAGATGAAAACCTTTATGATGATTCGCATGCACACTTGCACCTCATGAATATGTGCCTCACGAATAGTAAATATACTGTATTTTCTCTTGTGAATTTTTTTGGTCTTTTAAAAAATTTTCTTTTAATACAGCGTCTCCCTCTGTTGCCTGGGCTAGAGTGTGGTGTCATCACAGCTCACTGCACCCTTAAAAATCCTGGGTTTAAGACACTTAAGTCCCCTAGATAAAAGAACCCACATGGAGACTCCCGAGGGAGTTCTTCAGTTCTTTCCCCCTTCCAGAAGCTCTGGTGCTTTTTACTTCTTCTGTGTTCCTTTCTAACTTCTAATAAAAGTTCTATTTTACCACTGGGGAGAAAAAGTCCTGGGTTTAAGTGAGCCTCCTGCCTCAGCCTCCCAAATAGCAGGGACTACAAGGACACAGCACCAACCCACCTAATTTTTCTCTATTTTTGTAGAGCCAGGGTCTGCCTATGTTGCCCAGGCCAGTCTTGAACTGATGGCCTCCAGTGATCCTTGACTCTCCTACCTTGGCCTCCTAAAGTGCTGATATTACAGGTATGAGCCACTGCACCTGCCTCTAGCTTACTTTATCATAAGAATATAGTATATAATGCATATACAAAATGTGTGTTAATCA